AAAAAAAAAAAAAAAAAAAAAAAAAAAGGTTAAGGGCAGGCCTGTAAAGGACTACAAATGGAAAGAAATAGTGCATCAGAATTAAGAGCTGTGCAAATATGGCAGGACCCATGGTGATTTAATACTTAGAAGAATACCTAACACACAAAGCAATAAATGTTTGTTGAATGAATAAATGTATGAGCTTTTAAGGTTTTTCCCTATTGTTTTGCCATTTCTTTTCCAATGAAAAACATTGGCAGTCTAAAAATTTCAAGCAATGGGCCAGGTATATAGCTCAGTGGTGACACTTCCTGCCTTGCAAGCACAGGACCAGAGTTCGATCCCTGGTACAAAAAAAAAAAAAAATTTTAAGCAGACCTCAATCTAAACAAGTCATGTTTTAGGATATAATTCCCCAAGTAAGTTTCCTAGAACACTCTTGGAGCTGGATAATGCAGGAGAAAAGGGTAGAGATGTCAAATAAAAAAAAAACCCTAACTACATCTTAGGAATTCATGGTGCACATCAACATATCAGAAGACCTAAAGAGAATTATAAGAAGGGAAGCCATTTATTTTAATTAACAGGACCATCCCCTAAACTGAATCCTTTTATCTGCAGAACACCTATGAATTTTAGCACAAAGGAGCACAGTTAATGGGGGGTACAGGACATGTACCCTGGCACTGCTGGGCAGAGGCACCGCAAAACACAACAGCCTGCAAATTCTAATACAGTGACAGGAGCAGAGAGGGCATGGGGCCACCACCCACAGAACCCACCCTGGGAAACACTTTTCAGAAGCCTAACAAAGAAAGGTACCCATCAAATGACGGCTGATGCACAATACTAAAGTGAAATCTCATTTTAAAATATAAGTTAAGCAGCAGCCACACTCTGAGATAACAATTCTAGATAGCCCCAGCCCTCCCCTTCCAAGTGGCTCTGGGCAGACTCTTAAAAGCAGCCATCTTTCCTCATAACTTACCATCTTTTATCATAGTACAGCTTGCCATCTTCTATCCGAGCCTCCAGTCTCTGGGCTGGAGACTCCGCAGGTGTGGCAGGCAAGTGTTCAGGAGAAGATGGGGATGCTGGAGGAAGGTAAGAGACACTTCAGCCCAAGCGTTAACACGCCTCAACTGAGACACCGTGGCAATAACCACGGCCACCCAGTCCTCACAGTGGGAATGCACGGCTACTACTCAGCCTGTGTGGGCTGGGTCCCTTGCGCCTGGGAGGTCGCTATGTTTTGCCAAACTTAGCAGAGACACCAAATTGGCATAGCACACTACTAAATTCTTGTACATTTCTTCTAACTTGATCTTCAAACAATCCTATGAGGCAGGCAAAACACAGATTAACCTCATCAAACAGAGGAGAAACCTGACGCTTGGGAAGGTGAAGGTCAAATGTACAAATCTATAAGGTCATTCACAATAGAGTTAATACCCCAGTGATCATCAAAAGCCCAAAAGGGCAAGTACTATGAAATGCTCTTAAAATGCAATCACTGCTAGAACTAAGGTAGGTTCACATTAAATTTATATACTTCCTCTTCATGGTGCCTCATCAGCTCAGGACTTCTCTGAGGACTATGGCAGTTCACAGGATATTAGCTAGAGAAAGAAGATTCCTGTTTTTCTTCCACAAAACTCAGTAAGTACAGGGATGTGTGAGTAATCCCAGGGCTCAGGATAACAAAAGACATTACCAATTTGGAATTTTAGTTTGCAGTTAGCACTGACTGCCAAGTGCTACTCTGGAAGGAACCACTGTGAACACCAAGATGGCCTTGGCCTCTTCTATAAACTGGAACTCAGAGCAGCCTGTGAGGACTCAGAGCCAGGCCACGAAAAGCCACGCAAACAGTAATGGCTAGCACTTAGCTCTAGAAAGGGAGTAAGACTGAAAAATCCTGTGGTTTAATTTTTAAAACTGGATATGCACTGGAACCTTGCGCCTGCGCAAAGGGAAACTTTGAACAGCCAATCAAGTGTCTCTTTTACAATAAATCCTAAGAACAAGACAAAAATAACATAGTGGGGCTTAAAGAAAATTAAAAACAGGAGTAATATTAAAGGTTCCTTTCAGTTTCCATGATGTAAGCAACTGAATATTTAGTTTACTTTTGAAAATTACAACTCCCTGACAGGTATTCACATGCTTTTCCAACAACATGACAAAAGGACTACACAAATACCAACATTATGCACTTACCTGGTCTCTTGGGTGACTTAAGCTGTAGAAAGAACAACAACAAAAAATCTTAGAGCAAAGCATTTCAGATGCAACTTCAGGTGTCACAAGTATCACAACGGTGTAACAAGTTAACATGTACATAAACTGAACCAGAAAACCATGTTAAGCCTGCCCTTTCAAATCAATTTTTAAAAATCAAACTGTACCTTATTTAATGTTCTCAGATCCTCCATGATCTGCTCATCAGTTAACAAATAGTTTAGCTGAGGTGTTGAGAGTTAAAGGAATGTATCTGGAAATATGGTTCCCAAGGAAACACAAATCAACAAAATGGTACAAATATTTTAGAAATGACAAAGCATGAATATGTTAAATGGTATTTTTTATAATGACTTGCTTGTAAGAAAGTTGATTCTCCAACTAGATGTCATGGTGACCACGTATATAAAAGAATTCACAATCCCCACCTTATAAACTGCTACAATGAAGTTCCCCGGGTAGCTACAATATCATAATAGTGAGAGCACAGAAAATAGTAAAGTAACAATTTCACCCTGCATTTATAAAGTGCCCTTGCCTTGTTCCAAAGATCTGAAGACTTCAAACACACACACACACTGGTAAGGTTAGTCTTCTAAGGCAACTTAAATCCTCAGTTACAAAGGTGACATTGTATCTTTTTCCAGTGGTCAACAAAGTGAACCATTCAAAACAAACAGCTATTTATTATCTCCTAAGAAGGATGCATCTCTCCATGTGTCCCACTCCCACTGTCTGTTTTTTATTATCAAAGAGCTACTTTTAAAATCTCACTTGCTTTAAGAACAGTTTCCAATTCAGTTTCCAATGCAGTATATGAAATGCACAAAAGCAGATATTACTTTGTTTTACTGGTGGAAAAATTAAGGCACATCAACTTTTGAGTTTGCTCTAAACTTTGAAAAGGTCTAATGTCCAACAGAAAGTACTTTCCAAATAACCACTTTCTGTAAATTTTCCCACTAAAAGCAGTAGCAATGGAGAACTCCAGTAACAAATGACCAACCTCTGTTCCACTGACAAATATTTTACATATGTTTTCCCATCAAATGTAACTATCTTCTGTAGGATAATTACGTACACTCTATCACAATGGTGGCAAACCTATGACACGTGCTGCAGCAGTCTGTTTATTATCGAAAGCTCTAAAAGGTTCGCCATCACTGCCCTATCAGACAAACAATAAAGGACTCGGTTGTCTTAAGGAAAACAAAGTGATTAAAGCATGACACAAATGGATATCAGGAGCAGGCTTTCTCCTCTTGTCTGGGATGGGGACAGGATCATTTGGTCGCCTCCGCAACTTTCTGGTCATGATGGGTTTCACTTCCATAGAATCTGTGGCAAGAATGGAATGGGTAAATCTGTCCAGCTCCCACTTGGAGTAAGAATTCCTACAGTGCAAGAATATCTGCTTCATCATCACCCAACCAAAACTGTTTTATTGGGCATGTTTGGTCCATACAAAGTCCAAGCCAGATGCCAATTATAGATGAGAAAGGGTCTATGCTTACAATATTCAAATCACCTCAGCTAGGCAGCCACACACCCTTCTCAGAAATCCAACCCCCTAAGACTAAGGCTGTGGGAGATAACAGAACAGCACCCTAAAAACTAGTGGCTATTCCTCCTTCACCTCAAATTAAGAAGCCAGGCTTTTGGCACTGAAAGGAACTGCACGGTCATCTCACTTGACTAATTTCCATTGTTTCCACGGAGGTGGGGCCTAAAGCCCACTGGTACAAAAGGCTCTTTTGCAGGCCACTGGCCTTGGTGCTCACATTTTAACACAGAGTTTTCAATTTTAAACTCAGACTCCTTTCTAACCTTTTGTAGCTACTTGACTTCAAGAATGATACAATGAAAACACACAATAAAGCCTCTTTTCACCCATTTGACTTCTCTCTGCAGCCAAACACCGCCACAGACTCCCCCCACCTTGGAGGCTCTCCTCCAACAGCCACGCAAATCTCTGATTTGCCCTTTGGGGTCCTTTCTGGCCAACCTGCTCCTTATTCCTGGTGATCTCTGGTGTCCACTCAGTCCTCAGGCTGTACCCCACTGAATGTCTACTCCCCACTCCCCAGTCTACCAGCCCTCTGGACGACAATCCACACTCTCCTGGCAAACTCATTTCTCCTTCTCCTACCACTCCCCACCCAAAGCTGCCTCTTCTGCATCTCAGGGCACTGAATCTGACTCCCTTCAGTGCTTGAACGAAATCCTTCCCGTGACTCATCTTCCTTCACCCAGGCATCAAAGTCACCACATAATGGCAAGTCTGCCTCAGCCACGGGTCCTCACCTTTTCAATGACACCGTGCCATGCCCATCCGTGGTCTCTGCCATAGCAAGTACATCCTCCCCTCCCTCAAAGTGATCTCCTAAGTCAGATATCAAGTCACTTTGCATACTGTTCACTTTTCAATAGGTTTACTGCCTTCTACAGAAGGAAAGTCAAGCCTCTGTTCTATTCATCCTTACTTCTCCTTCATTCACACACTGTGCAAGCTTTTAGCTCTTCTGTTACCCAAAGACACCATACTTTCAGGTCATCAACCCTTTGTGCACTGTTCTCTCTGCCGAGCCTCCTCTTTAGTGCCCAGCAAATGCCTACAAAAGATTTTTTTGAGAGTCTGCTCAATATTCCCCTTTCTGTGACAGCTGCCACAGCAGAGGCTCATCCTACCTTGAGTAACCAGGGCACATGTGCCACCCTCCACTGCACCAAGTGCCACCCTATTTTAACATTCCCCCACTGGATGTTGGGTGTGCAATTCCACCACAGCATGAAATGCATCCTTACTCCAGTACAAAGTTTTTAAGAGCCAGACGAAGCCAAGCTGATCACAAGACAAACTTAATTTGTGATTATGCACACTTAGCAGCAAAGCAAGCAGGACAGAGTTGCAGGACTCCACCACAAGAACGCGCAGGATCTTAAAAGCACATAACAAGTGCATTACACAAACTAAGACGATGTCTCATGTTGCTCTTAGAACAGACGTGAATACTGATTTTTTTTTTCCTATGAGGTAAAAGAAGAACCACACACCTAATAAATACTTGACTATTTGTAAAGGTGACTTGGAAGTAAGGGTAGAAGACGACACACACCACTGGGAAGAGGGTGGAAGTCTTCTCCCTACAAGAAATCCCTACTCTCTCCCCTCACTAATGGCTAGGGACTAATGGCGTGGTAAGCATGGGCATGACACCAACAGGCCGGGCTCCCTATAGCAGCTGAGTAATCTAAGGCAGGCTCTGGAATTGCTGTGTCTCAGGCTTCCTCATCTCTCAGAGTGTGCTCATGGGTGCTGTGAGGGTTACAGAGATGGCACATGGGCTTGGCCTAACAAAGCGCAACTGAGACTGGCTTTTCTTTTCATGCTTTCAGGGAGGAAAACACTAGACAAAGATCCTTATAAAAGAACAAGGTGAAAAAGCTGTGCAAAAGCTGAATCCTATTTGGCAGCTGCTATCAACTGTGCTACATTGCAACATACAGAATGTGGCAACCAAAGTGTGAAAGGAGTTTACCTAACCCAAGACAGCACCTGAGAAGCAGCAGCACCCTATGAACACTGCAGAATGTTCTAGTCACCGAAGCAGCTGAGTGCCAACACGGGGATGGGCATGTGGGCAGGGCACGTGGGCAGCACATAACGGGAGAAAGCCAAGTAAAGATGTGCCTGAGAGGACCTAAGAGTACCAAAACCAGCCAAGCTGCTAAACTGAAAAGTCCTAACTACACACTTATAAATCAGAAAATGTAATCAAATTTTCTTAAAAGTAGTGAAAAACCAATCCATTTTATTAGCCTGGTCACAGGAATAACGTGGTGACTTCTATCCAAAGGACTACTTCTGTAGAAGCAAGAGCTCTGAGGAAGCTCCTAAAATACATCAGCAAGCTTCCACCGCCACTTAGGAGACAAAGAACCTGGCCAGTGGCCCCCTTGGAAGAAGTGATTAAGGGGGAAGACCAGCCTGAGCACAGCCTCAGGACCACACCGTACCTAAGATTATCCACCTTGCTTCAACTGCAGGTTTGGCTGGCTGGCTTTGTTGGCAGATTTTCCAAGGAGGGGTGGGGCTAGCCTAACCACCTGCATCCAAGTCGGCCTGACAGTTCTATCACTCACTGTCCACAACAGCTAGGCTGCTGACTTTGTAACATCCGACTCCTGTGCGTTTGGCCACTAACAGTCCCACAGAACTCAATCTGGACACACTCACAAAAATTAAACTCCCAGAACTGAATTCAAAGCTCAGACCCTGCAGTGTGACAACCCTGGAGAAGGTACCTGAGCACAGAATTAAGTCAGCATTCCTCTCAGATGTTGTGTACCAATCCCAAAGTCCTCTAAATGGCTTAAGTTAGGCTCTCTGAACCATAGGACTTTTTTTTTTTTTTTTTGGTACTGGGGATCAATCTCAGGTCCTTGTGCTTGCAAGGCAGGTGGCGGAACCACTGAGCTAAACCCCCATCCCCCATAGGGCTCTTGAAAGATTTGCTTCAGCGGGGACACAATCTGCAAGATGCACTGAATAAACAACTACAGCAGACTTGGGAGGGTTTATGTGAGAGAACAATGGACAAGGTCTCCAGCTCCTCTCCAAACCACCTCACGTATGTCCTGTAATAGTGCAGGCCCCAGGACACCTGAGATACAGGTGCCCACTCCCAAGCAGCACCTGGTTTACCCTCTAAGAACTGGGAATGCAGGCTGAACCAATGCTAGGCAGTCAACAGAGAACATGCCTGTAGGAGAACCATGACAACATCAATTGCCTGCAATCAACAAGCAATTACCAATTACTGCCAAGACTTTGTTCTCCACTTTCTTGGGCCTAGTCCTTAACTTCCTCCAACAGCTCACCTGCTTACAGGGTTCAAGTGAAGTAAAGCTTAATTTTAATATACTCTAACCATTAGAATAAGCTCAAGCATAATCTCACTCTTACATGGAATCTAGAAAAGCTGACCCTGAAGATATAGAGGATAAGACAGTGGCACCCAGAGGCTGGAAAGTTGGGGGAGAAATAGGACAAGGAGAGATTAACCGTTACAAAGCAAAGTTCCAGTGAGGTTGGAAAGTGTAAGTCCTGGGGTTCTATTACACAGCAAGGTGACTGTGGTTAACAGTATTGTGTTCAGTGTATCAAAACAGTTACCAGAACATAAGAATGTGAATGTAATCACCCCAAAGAAATAATAAATACAGAAGTAGATCAATATGCTAACAGCCCAGTCTAATGACTACACAAAGCAGATAATGTATTAAAATATCCCTGTAGTCCATAAATGTATAATTATGTGTCAATTAAAAACCAAATTTAAGGGCCGGGGATTTAGCTCAGTGATTCCACCACCTGCCTCGTAAGCGCAAGGGCCCAAGTTCAATCCCCAGTACCAAAAACAAACAAACAAACAAATTTAAAAAGCTGATAACTGCTTAGCTATTGGGAAATAAGACTTGCAATGATTCTAAGAAGCATTTTTTTTTTTTTTTTTTTTTTTTTTTTTTTTTTTTTTTTTTTTTTTTTTTTTTTTTTTTTTTTTTTTTTTAGTTTTTTTGAGACAAGTCAGTAAGTTGCCCAGCCGGGCTGAAATTAGCAATCCTCCTGCCTCAGCCTCCAGAGTGCTGGCATGTGCCACCACACCTGGCTTCAGCGGAGCACCTTAATAGGACACGTGTAAAAAGAAAATCTGCTGGAGAGTAGACCTGAAGCAGATTGGCAACCACAGGTCTCTAAAGTAGAGTCAGTGCAAAACAGAGCTGGACCGAAAACCACAGCAGGGCCCACACCCCCCATCCCACATCCCTCTCTAGTGGGCTGCCAGGCTCACCTATGGTGCCACAAATCCACACTTCAAGGGTGACCAAACACAGAAGGCAGGAATGAAGAAGGGCGAGCTTGAGACACGGCTAGCTAAATGGATGCACCTTGAGACCACACTCCTAAGTGAAATAAATCGGGCACATGTTTAAATATGGCATTATTTCTCTGATCTGAGAAACCAAAAGTGCAAATAAGGACCAAAATGTACAACAGCTATGGAAAAACAGGAAGAAAATGTTCAAATGAGAAGGGAAACAAGGGAGGGGTGAGGGAGGAAGGGAGAGAGGGAGGGAGGGAGGGAGGAAGGAGGGAGATGAAAATGTGAAAACAGAAGGGAAAAAATGGAAGCAAAGCTTTTGTGTGTAGGGAAGGGAGGGGTGCCAACGGGAGGAATGGAAAAAGGAAAGAGGTGAGGTGTCACGTATAGAGGCAAACTCCCCATGCTGAGTGTTAGCACTGTGTATCTGAAATGTACCAGTAAATGTTTTGCTTCAAAAAAAATAATAAAATCTCTTTAAAAAAACAACAGGAAGCAGGAGTATGGAACAAGAACCAAGGTGAGGTCTTTGGAGGCCAAATCAGGGCAGGAATGAAAGGATCAAACTCCATTATGCCAAAGTTGCCAACAATCAAGGGACAGCATCCAAAAGGAACCCATCAAGCCCTCCTCTCTTTCCCTCAACCACAGTGAAGGGCCTGGATTCCACAATGTCAGTATAGGGAAGCCTGCCCGCTCTCTCTCCCCATGTATTTCTGTGACTCCACGGTCCTCCTTGATGTGCTAAGTCCCCATGTGAGACTCACTGCTCCCTATCTAGTATGACCACAACATACCTTGAGGTTCTGAAGTCACTGTTAACAAGCCTGGCAAATCTGTGCCCTCATGTGGGAACCTCTATCTCAACACTGGGGAAGGCAAGGAAGTTATGTGCACTTTGTGAATATCAAAATACAAACTCTTTGAGAACACAGACCTTACCCCTCAGCCTAATTCTGTGACAATGGCACAAGTCCCCGTGTTATCAGGAGGCTTTGTATAATGTGTTTAAGAGAACATGCCTAGTATCAGATACATTCTGGCATAAGTACGACCTAACTCATTGGGGAACCTGGGTCAAATGGCTCTGCTTCTCTGACTCTGCTCTGCTGTCTGTAAACTCAGGGTAGCAACATCCAAAATCAAGGAGAACTGCAGAACAGGGTTACACTTCCCAAGTCCACAGTGTTTCCTCTGCACACCATTTTCCAACACTCAGTACAGGCACTGCACCATCTTATCCTCAACCAGTCCCTAGTAGTAGTTCCATCATCCCCTTGCCGAAAGAGGAAATCCACCCCAACTAGATTACGACAAGCGAAGGTTCTCCTCCAGCTGTCCACCTGAAGAAGGAGCACTAATATTTTTGTACAATACCTAGTTCCATGTTAAGTGCTCAGGAAACAGACTTCTATTTTGACATTATAATGACCCACAGCGCCAGCTATGAATCTAGTGTTTTCTAAAAGAAGCTCACAGGCTTTATTGAGGTCATGAGTAGCTTCCACAGGGTCCCTTGGTAAGAGAGAATTTACAACAGAAAATGAAGTGGCAGTTAGCAAGCTGCTAGAATAGAAAAGGTGGCTACTCTAGCAACAAGGAAAATCAATTAATGAGAAAGCTCCCAACATTTGAAAGCTCACTAGGCTCTCACTGATTATTTAGGTTATTTACAATATTGGCTACAGCAACAGAGAGAAAAATCACACTCAGACAATTCTATCTACAACCTCCCTACTCGAAGTGTGATCTGGCCCACAACCCCTGAAGGAGGTTAGAAATGCCTTCACCCAAGACCCTCTGAAACAGTCTGCCTTTCATCAAGACTCCAGGGGACCCACCGAGGCATGAAAGCTACACAAACTCTGACCTCTCTCCTATGGCACACACAGCCCCTTGCACAGCTCAGCTCTCCATGGGAAGTGAGGGTGCTGACGAGCACACCCAGCTAATTCCCACAGAGGTGTGCAAATGCTTTCCATTCAGACAACACACCAGCATGTCAGACACACTTATTTCTAAAGGGTCCTCTGAACTAAGCTTTTCATCAGCCTCTTATTCGGCTTTCACTTTAAAAAGAGGTCTTCATGTTGACTCAGTAAGGGACATTTTAAGAGAGATCTTTTCTGGGCAGAGCTGGGCAACATCAGTACTGGGCATCAATCCACACAAAGGTGAAGTCAGTCACTCAATTGGAGGAATGAAATCAGACCTTTAATCCAGCACCATAGCAGCACCATCTGTGGAAATGCTAATTATCCTTCCAGCTCCAGTGCCTTTTCTTTCCATACGCTATCATTACCGTGGCAGTGCTCTCCATACCAAGAGTACCAAATGGCTTGAAGGAGGACATCAGCACCTTTAATACCCACGGCTAGCTTTAAACACTTCAGCAATCTATTTTTTTTTTCACATTACAAATGATTTCACTGCATTTATTTGTCTTTTCTACCCTGGCAGGCTGTCTCAAGTCACTAAGGATGCCTCCTGTCCCACTTAAGATTCTGGCTGTGAAATCTCCTGGCCAAATAATGCCTACTGCTTGTCAAATAATTAGGAAGTCCAATCACAGATGAGGTGATCTATTCTTCTCTGCAGATGGAAAGGCAGCAGCTATAAACTAATAATATTTCCCACTGGCCTAATAGTGGCTCAGCAGAGGGCAATGAGACATCACTGCCAGTCCCAGCCACCATGAAGTAAACTGCTGCGTGATTCAGAAACAAACAGGTAGAGTGGCACCAGACGAGGTACCTAAGTATTAGCATCTAGAAAGCATTTCAACAAGAACAAGACAGCACTGTCTGGAGATGCTATCTTAGCATCCATTCTCACTATAATAAAAATGTCCAAGATGCTCTCAGAGGCTTTCAAAGAACTCACTCCTTTTTTGCCAAGTCTTTCAATGAAGAAATATCAGAGGTTTCTTTTGAGGAGTCAAGACTCCTCCCTTCCAACACACCCAGCCAGAACAATTACATTCTCATCTGGGTATCACTGGACTGGAGATAGAAGTCTGTGTCAACAAAGCCACCAAGCTAGTTCACAGCAGACACTGTATAGGTATGTGGGGGAGGAGCGTACAGATCTTAACTGGTTACCTTTAGTTTCAAAATCAGCTCCAAGGTCTTCCATAAAAACACTACATTTCCTATGGAACCCTCTTAAAATTAGTCATGCCAGAGCCCCACTACCTTCTAAATGTGATTATAAAAGTTAATTTTTGGAAATCATGCAGAAGGCATTCCACCCACATCTCCAAGTAACAGACTCACTGCTGACTTGCTTTGCAGTATGTGGCAGGTTCTAAAATTCCCTGTGTCCTTCTGGGATTCATCAGTCTACATATGGCAGCAGAAGAGTTGGCCCACATTGCTTCTCCCCGAAACTTGCCTAGAACCTGCTGAGCTCCCGTATGCAGAATACTAAACTCTAGAAGGCTAGGGAGGAGCTGGCTCCGAGCCGTGTGTAACTTCAATATCTTTATGGGGGAATAGGTAAGGTTCGCTATCCTGTTGGGATCTCATCAGCCCTTTCTGAAACATTCACAGAAACACCCGAGGGAAGGGATCTAGCAGCACAGATGTATAGCCAAAAGCCACTGTTCCCACAGCCAACTCAAAACACGGTAACGCCTTTTCTGTATTTTCAGGCAGACTGAGAAAAGCAAAGCAGAGAGATTCCCATCATCACAGATGGATGTGGGTAATTCAGGAATGTGATCAAGCCACAAATGGCAGCAGACTTGGAATTAAATACAGCATAAGCCTAAGCTCATAACTGCTATTAAAGGCCTACATTTATTGAATACCTGTTACACACAGGTCAGTATTCTAGGCATTTATATTTCTAACCACAATCCTGTGAGATAGGGTTTGATCAGCCCAACTTCACAGAGGAGAAAAGACTCAGAAGTTAAAAGAACTTGACTAGGGTGAAACAGGCAACAGAAGGTGGACCCGGAACTCTGACCTGTGATGTCAAAGCCCGCTCTGTGTTCCACGCTCTGCTCTAGAGGTGTGAGACACAGGCAGTAACTAGAGCAGCAGACCAAGCCCCACCGAACTCCCTGGACCCCACCCTAAAGGCCTTCATACCTCCTGTCAGTTCCATGGTCAGCTTTTCATTTTCAATCATTTTCTTCTTTTCTTCTAGCTCAGCAATCAGGTTCTCTTTCAATTCAACCTTCTTGTCTTCAAATTCTTTCACTGCTGCTTTCTTTTCTTTAATGTAATTTCTTTCCACTTGTTCAGTCTGAGCAAAAGAGAAACACAGGCTAGGGGTATATGGCCTAGGCAGCCAGGGCTGCAATTCAAAGTCCAGCTCTGTCCTCAAAAGCAAGGAAAATATCTTCACTAGAAATAGGAAGACAACTTTGTTCTCACACATGCTTGCGGTAAGCAGGTGTCTGGGAACAGGTGTCCCAGTGAGCGCACACATTGCTACTCAAGACATCGGGGAGAGGAAGTCCTTAAGTCTTACGGCTTTCATAGAACACAAATCCTTCAAGATAGTAAATAGTCCCTCTTAAGGCCCAATTTCAAGGAAAAAAATAAAGCATCTGTAGTCAAAATTAATTACATTGACACTTAGGCCAGACAAGATGGGTTACTATTTTGATACTTACAATGTCTTACATCGTACTTACAGCTTACGCTGAGAGACAACTACAGTAAGTAGATCATTCATGAAGTGCCTAAACCCTGGAGTAACCACCACTGACACTGAACTGAAACTAAAAATTATTTTAAACCTCACCAGTGCACTCAGTGATGAACAAGGGGGCCTGAGGCGAGCTACTGCTGGGGGTCATGTGATCCTCCAGGCTGACACTATGGGCAATGAACTGATTTTTAGCACCTAAGTGGTTTCCCATAACGGGACTCTAATAAACTATCACCTTCTCAAAAAGTACCCCACAAATGCACACCACCATGAGCAGGACTGCAATCGAGACTCTGGCCCTAATCTCTACGCCACAGCGCTGAGCTGAAACAGTAGCAGCATGGAGATGTCTGTGGAATGGAAAAAAAACATTAAAACATTCAGAATGGGGCTGCTGTTGAGGGGCACTATCAAATTATTAAGCCACAACACTGCAGAGATACTTCCAACTGGCTTTAACTGACCTACAAGTTAAAAAAAACGCAGGGAGAGGTGAGCATCCCCTAGTCCCTTCAGATAAACAGGCTGCCCAACAAGAAATGAACAGATCAACGGTGGCAAACCGACAGCACGCACACCACAGCAGGCTGTCTGCATCACAGTTTGCCGTTGCTGGAACAGGAGGACCCTCTGCTCTGAGCCCAAGTATCAGGTAGTCAGACAGAATGGGAAGAAAGGCTTCCGAACTACTCTGAGACAGAAGGAAAGGCGCCAGATCCGGAAAGCAAGGTTCCAGTCTCAGAAAGAGCGGTGCAAACCCAAAAGGTCTATGGTACTTACTTCCAGCTGGAGGAAGAGTTCTGAAAGAGATAAAAAGTGCAATTAGACTCGCTAGGCATGCCACCTTTCTAGACAGGGCTGTTAGGGTTCATTTAGAAGCTGTAACTGCTTTCTTAAAGCATGCTACACAAAGCAAATCTTTTCATCAGTAAAGGGCTGCTACACGAGAAAGGTAAAGACGCAAGCGATACTCACGTCTAGCTAAAATTTGACCCTGAACAGAATTAGCTCTGCTGGGGAGGTGGGGGTGGGCTAAGCCGCCAAATGGCAAAGTAAGTCATCCCTTCTTTCACTCGTCCTCACTCTCTAATCCAGTGAACCCTTGACTTACGAACTTGATCACTGGGGGGGGGGGGAACTAATCAGTACAGCTGCGGTCTGGATGCTTCCCTGGGTACACGCTATAGATAACGAGAGGCAGGTGAATCTTCCACTAACCTAATTAACCCAAGTTGTTCCTGTGTCAGGCCGGTCGAAACTTGAGGGGCCACTGTAATTGCAGACTACAGGACAGGTCAGAAAGACACAGAAACTACTCCTGAAGCAAGTCTGCCTTGATGTTTTAAAATTATTGCAGAAGGGCCCCGATAAGATGGGTGCTCCCAGAGAATCCAGAGGACAGAGGTTCTGGGCTTCCTTGGGCTTTATTCACAGGCACCATACTCTGCTCACACTGAAGCTCCTGCCAACCACATACTCAGGCCTCTCTGATCACCCTCCAAGCTCCTGGTCGAATGGAGTCTCCAGCCTGAGGTCTTCCTGGACATCCATTCCCTCAGCAAGCTCCTCTTAGGCATCCTAAAGTATCCTCCCGCCGGTTATTTAGCTCCTACTGTTTTCCTAGAAGCCTTCCTCCACTGGCCGTGAGCCCCTCTGCACATCCAGTATATCAAACCAAAAAGGCCTGCGGCTTCTAATCTCTCCTCAGTGATGCAGGGCCAGCTGCATATGGTCTGCAAAGACTACTGCTGAGCCACTAACTCTGCAGTACCCCCTAGTTTACCAAAGCCTTCGCTGCAAACCTGATAAACCCTGCATTCATTCCTCAGAAAAAAGCAGATTCCGCATGCTCCAAAGACTTTGGAGTTCTAAGAACCCTTGGTTAAGAGACTAGATGTCAATGAACAAGTTGCTGGATGAGAAAAATTCACTGAAAAAAGGGACAAGCCACTCATCATTTTCGAGCCTGGGAGTCTTTTATGGTCAAGGGAATCACCCTGCATAGGAGCTTGAGCACCACCCATTCCAGTATGCTTACTCCTGTGCCTACTTCAGATTGTACCATCCAAGAACAAGTCAGACACCTGACATCCGGCGCCACTGCAGAAATCACACAAGCATCAACAAGACAAAACGACCAATTAGCACTTAGAGCTGGCAGTTGTTTCAGTTAAAGCAGCGAGACACCAGACACAACCAAAGCAGGTGGATTATTTCTGCACAGAATGGGCTTTTTAAAGCTCAAGTCATGACTAATTTAGAAACTCTTCCTCATTTTCACCTGGAGGGAAGAAATGTTTACGGAACCATACACAAGGACAGGATGGAGTGTCTGTGAGGCGAATTAAGAAAAACAACTCAATACTGATCCTGCAGTTCTAATGTAGGGAAAGACAGCTTACATCAATTTTCTTACCTTATTTACATCTTAAGCTGATTCCTTGAGGAATTGGTATTCCCTCCTACAGATGGGGAAACTAAGGCTCCACAAATGAAAACTCGGATTAAAGGCACAGACCCAAAGTGATGGAGGTAGGATCTGAACTTAAGGCCACAGCCTTCCACAATATCACATCCCTGACCTTATTGAAGGGAGCTGCAGGAAGAAGGGTGACGATTATAATGATGTCCCTTGGGAGCTCAGAGTGGAGAGAGGGTAGCACCAGGGACACGCAACCTCCCAGTGCCCCACGCCTCTCAGCTTCTTTCTGTCTGCACACACTGGGCACACTGGACCCCCTAGGTAGAGAGGATGAGAGCTTTATGGACAGCGAGCTAGAGTTGCTGTATCCAAAGTCAAGAGGCAAACAACATGGGGAGTGGCACCCAGATCTTTTTTTTTCCCATTAAATTTATTTATATACTTTAGGTATACAATACAGTTACTTTCATCATTAGGATCTTGCACCTTTACATGACATATCTTGACCTTTTTTTTTTGTACCAGGGATCAAAACTGCATATGCAAGGCAGGTGCAGTGGCACTGAGCTAAATCCCTGGCCCTTGACCTTATTTTTAAATCCAACACTATTTCCACTCTGACAAGGAGAAACAAAGGCACCCTGCTGGCACTCAAAATGCTGGCTGATGGTGGCTTCAAAATTTAACATGGACAGTTCCATGTAAGCTCAGGAATCTGTTTACACACTTTAAACAGTTGCCACATCTTCCTTTCTTCATGATTCGTCATTTAACTCACGATGTTAACTTCAGACATATGCATATCTTTCATCAGTGAAACATGAGTTTCCTAAAGTCAAAGACAATTGTTCATGACTTTACAGTGCTTACAAGTATCGGATGTCCAACAGATATGCAAATAAAAACATTTACTAGGTATAACAGAGTAAAGATATGCTTTTTTTCTCTCAATGCTTATTATACAACACTTGAAGGAAATAAAGAGAAGACACCCTCCCTAGAGCACAGAATTTCAGAAGAAACAAACTTATAAAATGAGTGTGAAGGAATCTACAATCCCTTTCCACATTAGCAGCTCTGACTGGCCACTAAGCCAGCCGTGAGCAATAATATACAAGACTGTTCTTGGGCACCAGGAAGAACTTGAGGGCAAGCAGCCACCATTAATGCCACTGGCTGCAGGAACGGAGATGAACCCATTTTATTAACTTATGCCTTTGGAATCTCTCTTCCCTAAAACCCTCCCCTCCAGACAGTACCTGCAACACAACTTGGGAAATAGCTCTTAGAGCCACATTACATGGAGGATGCGGTGGAACATTTGAAGATAGTTCACTTCCACATCAAAGAGCCTCACCTGCATTTCGGATCCTCTCCTTGTACTGTTGATCCAGCTTTTTCATTCTCTTCTGATATTCCTGTAATGTACCTGATTTTGAGCATTTACAAAACAGAAAGTTATTGTGAAGATCGAACTGCTCTGCGCTTTATTTCCTAAAGTTATTAAGTTATTTTCAATTGACAATGACTGTTTTTTTTGTTTTTTTTTTTGGTTTTGGTTTGGTTTTTGAGACAGGGTCTCACTATGTAGTTGAGACTGACCTGGAACTCACTACTGTAGTCCAGGCTGGTCTCGAACTCATAGCAATCCTGCCTCAGCCTCCCAGAGTGCTGGGATTACAGGCGTGAGCCACCATGCTCTGGCGGACAATGACTGTTTTATAAGCATCAGAATAACAAAAATTCAAAAAAGCCACACCTGAGCAGTTAACTGGATTCCAGTTCTCAACCAAAACACCCAGCAGATTTCACTTGGGGCCCAGGGACAGCCCATCCCCTCAGCACATCAAAACTCTCTACGGGAGGGGAGTACAGGGCTGCAGACATCCCCGAGAGATTCCAAGTGCTTGCTACTACAGTCCAAAGCACTGACCTCCCTACTCTCTGGCAGTAAGTTCTGGGTCAAGGCTGTCCAGCACAGCTTTCTGCAGTGCAGAACTATTCTCTATTTGCACTATGTAATGTGGTAGCCACTAGCCACGAGTGGCGGCTTTAGTACTTAAATACAGCTACTGCAACTGAACAACTGGGCTACTGGTTCTATTTACATAAAACAAATAGCCACATGCAGTTAGTGACAGTACCACACAGCTCAGGCCTAGATTCTAAAATCTGCTTTCACAGTTCTTCCCCAAAGGGGTCCAACTTGTCGGGGCAGTGCTTCGTGTTCAGTGCTTGCCATGGGCTGTCCGAGAGAGCAGATTACCCACTAATGACACAAAGTACCCAGCAGGAAAGCAGTGTCACTGATAAGGGCTCCACACTGCGGAACTCAAGAGCTAATGGCAGCAGCTAACCCTCCCTGGGTTCTCAAACTGTGCCCAATACTACACTAGATGCTCTGTTTTCTTCCATTTTGCAGGTTAAAAACACCAATTAGGCAAGAGAAAGTGATGTGCTCGGGTCATACACAAGAAAGTGAAAACAGGTTCCCCCTCTGCCATGGAACTTGAGGACCTGGGCTCTTAAAACTCCATGCTGCACTGCCTTTAGGGGCCAAAAGCACTTGACAAAAACCATCACTTATGTTGTGCCAAACACAAAATAGAAAATAATGTGGATAATCCACAGTCCATTAACATTAGTTGTAGAAAGAAAAATAAGATTAAAAAAAAAAAAAAAAAAAAAAAAAAAAAAAA